TGTTGGGAGAAAGGCATAAAGTCTCCAGGGCTGTTTGAGGAGGATGCGGGTGATCTGTCCACTGCCACTGAGGGCACCTTGAGCCCTGGATAGGTCTCCCATGAGCACACATAGGACTCAGAAGGGGTAAGGCTGTTGGTTAGAAGTGGCCTAGTGGAGGGCTTCAGCTGGAGTGGTCCTGGACTCCCATGTGGGGTGAAGTGAGGAGGGATCTGGTTACCTTGGAGCCGTACTCTCCTTCAGGCAGTTGGTGAAGAGATCTAGTCTGAGGTGACCTGGAGAAAAGAACTGCACCTCAGGTACCTTAGGGTGTGACTTGCATTCAGAGAGTCTAGGATAGGCAACATTTGGGGTGTCTTTGAAGGGTGTGGGAGGTGGCTCCTGGTGGCATTGTTTTTATGGTAGTAGCCACAGTTGGGGAGCAAAGTGGCCTGTGGTTGAGTGGGTGAGGCAGACATGGCTGCAGTGTGAGGAGAGGTGCCCACACCACCTGGGTCCTTGGCCCTCCTGTCAGTGCCTCACAGGGCTTGGAGGTACTCACCTGCTGGAGGATCACTCATCCAGCCTGGAATTGGCCCACTCAGTGACAATGTGGCCACAGCCTCAATCCTGAGGCACTAGGCAGCAGGAGGTCCCCAGTGAGGCACCTGTGTTTTGAGGGCTGCTGGGGGTCCTGCATTGCAAAGTCAGTGTGTGGGGCTCACAGTTCACAGGGGCCTGCTGCCCGGGGAAGCAGTAATGGCACAGGCCTGAGGTCACACAGCTGTGCACTTGCAGCAGCCCCAACAAGGGCTGTGTGGTTTAGAACCATGAAGCAACTTTGATGTATGGCAGGGAAAATGTTCACCATGGGCCTTTGGGTGGGCTGGGCCGGGGAAGCCCAAGACTTTGGTGGAGTTAGGGGGTTATGTTGTATGTAGTGAGGAGTGTTCTGAGATCTGAGGCCAGCAAAGCCACTGTGCCTGGTGTGTAATAGATCCTCAATGAATTGTGAATTGTATTCTTTGATCACACTATGAGAAGCCCTGCCACAATTATCTTTTAAAGGGTGGAGATTGAGACTGAGTACAGGTGAGATTCAGAGGGAGGAGGCTGGAGGGTCTCAAGGACATTGGGGTAGCAGTGACAGTGTTTGAGCTGTAGGTGTGGCTTGACCCAATGTATAAAGAGGGTATTCCATTAAGGTTGTCTCCAGCTTTGACCCTGGAACTGTTGATGGGGTGAGTACAGGGAGATGTATGCTACCCCCAGTTGAGTCCTGGGCATTTTCAGGAGGGGCTCAGCAGACTTAGGTGTGGGGGTGGTGCTGGCCTTGCAAGAGGAAGCTGTGACCTGTGGGCTGGAGAAGTGGGGTGGGGAGACAGTGGGAACATTTTGAAGAAGGGCACTCATGGTCTGGCTGAGCTGACTTTTTGATGCTCTAGGATTTGGCTTGCTTTGGGGCCTGGGCACCCTTGTACTAGTGCTGCCCAGGCTGCCCCCCCACCCCAATTTGCCATGGAGGTTGGATCAAGAAGGCAAGCTTCTATTGTTCTTCACCTCCCTCCACTCCCTCGCTGCCTGACTGAGCCAGCACATTTTTCTTCTCTCCTTCATCTGTGGGCAAGTACAGGGTGTTCTGTTTCTCCTGTGCATACAGATCAAGGAATGGCTGTTATTTATTTAATTCTCTTTCCAAGGCGAGGAAAGAACAGGCAGGCACCGAGGACCATTTAAATGATTCTTCTTCCTCCATAAGGCAGTTTCTCATTTAAAAAAAAAATTAAAAAGCCCAAAAGGGGTGATGGGGGGTTACAAACTAACAGAAAACAAGTATCCCCCACAACAGCCAGCAAAGCAGGCCTTCCTGAAATCTTCCCTTCCTTTTCAGTTGAACCCCAGGGTATGTTGACTCTGGGTGATAAGGGGGCCACTGTAGACATTCCTCTGCCCTTTGGCTGTATCAGTCAGGATACCAGGCTTCTTGGAGGCAATGGGGGTTGATGCAGCTGTTCTGGGACAAGGCCTATGTAGGACCAGGAGTATTGGATTAACAATGATGGTCAGTAGTGCAGGGGCCCCACTTGCTGTGTTCTTCCACCTGACACCCATGTTCAAGGTTGCTGAGACCTGGTGTTGGGAACTGGGGGGGAGGGGTCTTTTTGTACTCATTTTAAAGATGGTCCATGGTCCATTTCAGAACCCTGTCCAGTCCTGTCCAAGGACAACTGTTTGTAGCTACAGTTCCTGACATTTAAATGCAAACAGTCTTGTGACAGCCTTGACTGTCATAGCACTGTGATGATAAGGTAAGTGGCAGTAGCCTTCCTTTCTACCCAGGCTTCTGAAGCAGGAGCTCACCCACTTTTCTGGTTTTTAGTGGGGTGCCTGAGGGATCTCACAGGCCCTCAGTTGTTTTGGTTGTTATTGTTAACGGTAGTGTCTTGCTGTGGAGCCTAGGGTGGCTCCTGCCTCTATTTCCAGGGTGCTGGGATTACAGGCCGGTAACACCACACTCAAATGTGGAAGCTCCAGTTTAATCCCTGTTACACCTGCTCCCCAAAGCAGCATTTCAGGATGTAGCTCCATTGGTAAACTTTTAAAACACTGCTGCTTTCCCAACCCTTTACTGTAAAAAAGAGGTTGTCTTGGGGTGTCCCTGGGATGGGGGTGCTGGAAGGGGGAGCCCTTTGGAGTGTAGGGAAGAGCTGGCAGCTGTGCTACTTCATCACTGGGTGCTCGGGCACCATGGTGTCATTACAAGCTGGCTTGGGGCCCTCCACAGTGCCCATGTGTTTACCAACCTGTGGCAGTGTCTGCATTGGCTGGCAGACATCCGGTGGCATCCTCACTGGCCCTGCCTCTCTGCCACCACATCCTCACCTCTAAATTTAGTGGGCAGGAATAAAACCTGGGAGGGGAGGGAAGGCAGGGATGCCAGCCAACTCTGTCTTGTGTGATCCCTGTGGGGAAGAGGATCTAGCATGGTGCGGGAAAATAAAGGAAGTCTGAGCCCACCCAACCGTGGCCGCATCCCCTGGTAAAGCTGGGACAACCTCTCCTGATCCAGGAGACTGCCTGGGAGGGATTCTGGGCCTCGGGCACCACCTGCCGGCAGTTTAGGGAACCTATTCTGTCCTGACTTCTAGTTTTAGTCTAGGAGGCTTGGGGGGCAGCGGTGGGTAGTTTGGGTCCTGAGGTGGTGGGGTGGGCCCGGGCCCAGGTATCTCATGGTTAGATGGAGTAAACTGGGTGAGGGCCAGCTTCTTAGCCTGGGACTCCCAAGGAGTCAGTGTTAGAGGACACCGTTCCAAGAAAGATGGAAAGCTCAGTGGCGACAGAGAAGGAAGACAGAGTGCCAGCAGGCTTTGATTCAGAGATAGTGAATTGAAGGGCAAGAATCTTGGTACTGAGGTAGACATATGCACATGCATTGATTTGCACAAATTTTTATACAAAGATCTGTGCTGTGTAACCTCTATTCAGATCAAGATAGATATATTCCCTCTGTTGCCCCTCCCTCTTAAGCTTTGTTTTGACCTCTATCTTCACAGATCTTTTGGCTTCTTCCTGAACTCCATTTAAATGGAGCCTTACAGCATGTGCTACTTAGGGTCTGACCTCTTTTGCTCAGTTGGTGTCTTTAGGCACATCTGTGGTTGGGGGTAGCAGCAGTTCATTTCTGCTTATTGCTGAAGAATAGCTCGTCATACGGCTCATGTATATGTCTGTTCTCTCACTGGCGGACTTTTAGGTTTCTGGTTTGGGTTAATGCGAATGAAGCTGTGCATCTCTTTAACCTATTTGGTGGACTGTGCTCCGCTTTTCCTGGACACATTCCTAGAAGTGGATGTGTCTTGGGGAGGGTCATGGTCTCTTGTTGGGGGTGGGGGACAGGTTATTCGCTTCTCAGTTGTGCCCAGCAGCTTCCATCCATCTGCATTTATGTCCCTGGCTGGTTCCAAGGTGCTATTACATACCACAGCATCTGCTGCTCAGACATCCGCCAAGGCAACTCGAATCTTATGTTGTTTAGGTCAGGGAAGGCAATGGATAGGATCCAATCCGAGCTGAGTGACCCCCACAGGATGGTCCGCAGACACCTTTAAAGCACCATGGCCATTCTGGGAATAGAGGAACAGTGTCTTCCAGCCATGGGCCACCTCCTCACCCTGCAGCACCAGCCCCTCAAGTCTGGGTTCTCTGAGCAAGTTGGCATAGTGCAACTGTCAATTTGATGTCTGGCCTCTGGTGCCATGGGTCATCATGGTTCACTGTCTCCTGGGCTCACTGCTGTTTTGTGGTGATTGAGGGACTGCGTGGCTGGGGAAAAGGACCTACCCAGAATAGCAGAGACTTGTTGGATACCAGCCTCGTGGCACTTTCTGGAGGAAGGGGGAGGATGAGACTTTGTCCTTCCCACCAAATTGGCACCTTGTTGAGGCTTGGGAGGCCAGCAGAAATTTGGAGAAGAAGATAAAGGGGCAAGGGACAGAAAGAGTACTAGTAAAGAGCCAGGCAAGGGAGGGAGAAGAGAGCCTAGCATTGTATGTACAAGTATCCTGGGGTTGGTGTGGGCATCCTGTGCAAGTGTGTCTGGGTATCTGTGCAAGGGTTCCTGGGTATGTGTAAGTACCCTGGTATCCATGTGAGTAGCCTGGGATCAGCACAAAAGGCAGTGCTACTGTGTTGAGCAAAGTATCAGTGTCAGTCCTGCTTTGGCCTTCTTGGTCATCTCTTCCTAGGCCACCTCTTGTCTCCATTTAGGGCCTGTGGGCAGGGAAGAGGCAAATCCTATCAGATTTGAGGGTGAGAGTTGGTGGATTTCAGGTGCTTAAATAGATTCTATCTTCTGCCTCCTGGTAGGGGCCTAAAATGCAACCCTCCCTCCCATCTCCCCTTGCCCCTTCCTCCATTTTTTGGAGGTGGCTCTTATCCAAGTCTTCAGGGAGGGAAGGGGAGGACATTTAGTGAGTGTCCGTCTCTTTGGTCAGGTGAGCTGACATCTCTCCTCACTGCAGGTTCCTAGAAGGTGAGTAGGGACGGTATGCAAAGTTGTGAATCCAGTGGTGACAGTGCGGATGACCCTCTCAGTCGTGGCCTGCGGAGAAGGGGACAGCCTCGTGTGGTGGTGATCGGCGCCGGCTTGGCTGGCCTGGCTGCAGCCCGAGCCCTTCTGGAGCAGGGCTTCACGGATGTCACTGTGCTTGAGGCTTCCAGCCACATCGGGGGCCGTGTGCAGAGCGTGAGACTCGGTGAGCATGCCCCTGCCCAGCTACCTCCCAGATCACCTTTTGCCCCTACTGGTCCTGCCTAAAATGGAATTACTCTAGCTCCTTCCCTTGGGGTAAATGTTCCATCATGCAACCTTTCTGGGCATTTTCCAGAAGCTTCCTTTGCCCCTTTGGCATTCTGTTTTGGCAGAGTGCTGGCTTGGTATAAGACCCAATGTTTAGTTGGGAGAATGTACCTGTAACCAGGCTCTCTTGGACCTGTGTGGACCAGTTTTTAATGTCACAGGATGGGGAATTGTGTAAGTTTGGTTAGTCATTAATTTTTCGGTGTGAATTAGTGTATCATGACTGAGAGCCAGGCAACAGGACTTAGGTTAGAGCTGGAAGAAGATTTTAGGCCTCCTTGAGGGTGATGTATGGGTCTTGGGATTGTCTGTGAAGATCTGTCCAGATTGCAAACAATGGGTACCCTGGAGAAAGGTGCCAGGCAAGAGACTTGCCCCTGGGGTGGGCAGATTTTGCCTGGGTTCTAGACATTGGGGCTATATCTTATAATGGAACTAGAGGCCAATGTTTCCACAGCCAGTGTGTGTGTAGGTGTTTTGGCTAATGATGAGTTGAGTGGGTTGGGACCAAGAAGATGACTCAGTGGCCTGGAGTATGTGAGTGACATGGACCCTTTAAACGCTAGATATGTGTGAATATAGCCCAGGCTATCCCTGAACTCTAGCCTCTGCCTCCCAAGTACTGAAATAACAGGCATGAGGTGCCACACCTACATTTCTAGAAGATTTTGTATTTGCCACACAGAGCCTTTGTGCTCACTGCTCAGTGGATAGGTGGTCAGGCTGAGATCCAGTGGATGTTGAGGACACACAGGGACCTTCTCTCTTCTTGTGAAACCATTGATCACATTGAGTCTTCCCCTAGAGCTTGACCTGGAAGGCATTCATGAAGTTTTGTTTTCTTTTTTTTCCCCTGGCATAAATTAGTGTCTCCTGGCAGTAAGAATGGGCATGCCATCCAAAGTGCCCCTGAAGCTGGGCAGCTGGGGAACCCTAGCCCTCTGTGTTCACTTCTGATTGGGAAGAGCAGCTCTGTTTATGATTCTCTGAACTTGGTGAGATGTTCAGGATCTGACACACAAACAGGAGGTAGGGAGACAGGTGGCCCAGTCATTGGAGTAGCTGACAGCTGGGATCATGTAGTGAAGGCTACAGGAGACTGAGTGGGAAAGCTTGCTGGGCAGAAAAGGAGGAGGGGACAGGGTTTGTAGAATGCTGGATGTGAAGAAGATAGAGAGGGGAAAGCATGCTAGATGGGTGCATGTGTCTGTATTGTATGCAGATGTGTAGGCCTAAGAGCCCAGTGCTGCTGAATATGCTGCAGCATGACATATAGCTGTGTGCCTGTCAGGGTGAGAGCTGGGATCCGGGGTGAGAGGCTCTGAGGATACTGTGTGCTATGAGATAGGCAGACATGGAGATGGTGCATGGTGCCCTTTAGAGATTCAGATGTGACAGAGATGGAAGGATTATGGGAGCCTCCTCAGTGATTGCCTAATTTTGGGTTTCCCAACTTCTGGGAAAGCCTGGGGACAGAGGTGGGGTATTGACTTTGTCCTGATCTTGCTACTCACTTCCTCCTGTGTTTGTGGGGCATCTGGAAATAGGCAAGGTATCTTCTTGATTCAGAACTGTCCAGTGTTTGTGTGACTTGGAGTTCCTTACTGTGGGGGGAGGTTCACTTCCCTCCTCAAATTGCTGTTCTCTCCTTTATCTCTGAACTATTGGCTATTGATAGACTCTAGAAGAGGGGAATCCACTGTCTTTAGTTGTATATCCATGGTTGAGCTCACCAGGCTCCAACAGATAGCCTCCAAACCCATGATCACACAGGCAGCCCTGATTAATCTCAGTGACTCAGAAAATAAAACCAATAGTCATGAATGTGAAAGAGAGATTATGGGGGGGAGGGGGTTTGATAGGAGTGGATGGGATGGTAGGATGTGAGAGTGGTATGCATTATATACATGTGGAAAACTGTCTAAAAACTTTAATTAATACTAAAGATCTCTGTTCTCCTGCTTTGATTGGGGCCTCAAAGCAAACCAGATACTCGGGATTTCCCAGCCTGAGGCTCTAGAGGTGCCTTTCAACAGCTAGCAAGCAGCTCTGTAGGCAGGGTCTTGGGCCTTTGCTTTTACCGTCCTTCAGTTTGACTACCTTACCTAGACAAAGGAACCTGGGCATTCCTCCCTCTTCCAGAGACACCAGGCAATTCTGTCTTGCCAGCTGCATCTTGAGGTTCTGTTTTTCTCTTGCTTGGACACATTGATCGGTACAGGGCTATTTTTAGTACTGGCTGTTTTATTACAAACAGCCCAAGGAAAGGAAGACATTCACATGAGGAAGTGTATGCCCAGTTCTTCTGGGTGAGGGACCATATTGTGTTCTTAGAATGTATCAGATAACTATTGGCACATAACAAATGGCTCCAAATATAATGGCTTAAAACATCTTTTTATTTGCTCAAATTCTGTGGGCTGGAAGTGTGTGCAGAACTCAGGTAGGTCTTTTGTTATACCTTGCCTTGATTCCTACATGTCTGAGGTCATTTGAAAGCTTCACTGGAGTTAGAGATGGCCTTCCCCTCAAGTCTCTGGTGGTGGCTGTAGGCTCTGGGCTGGGCTTCATGATCCTAGCAGGATGAGCCTGGGTTTCTTTGTATAGCTGTCCCGTTTAGAAGGTAAAGGTAGAAGTTATGAGGGCCCCTTGAGGCGTTGGCTCTGAGGCCATGAATACTACTTTTACCACATTCTGCCAATGAGAACAAGTCATAAGTCTAGTTTAGACTGAAGGGGTAGAGACTGCCATGCAGTGGGAGGAATGGCAGACTCATTTTATACAGGGACATGTGTGCAAGGGCGGGAGGAGTTATTGTGAAATTGCAGGAAATTTACCATTCATATCTTGAACCTGATTTGCATAAAAAAAAAACAAAAAAAAATGAAAACCACCAAAGATTGTTTCTGTGTTCCCCTTGTGCTTTTTTTTCTGTTTTGGAGACAGGGTCTCCCTGTAGCCCCAGTTGGCTTAGAACTTGCTATGTAGACCAGGCTTCGAACTCACAAAGATCCACCTGCCTCTGCCTTCCAAGTGCTGGGATTAAAGGCATTCACCACCAAGCCCGGCTTCCCCTTGCACTATTTTAACTTCTCTGGAAGTTAAGTGGGGAAAGAAATGACTGTATCATAGCTCTTGTAGCATCAGAATGGGAAACTGAGGCTCAGGCCAGAGGCAGCTTGCCTCAGAGATCTGTGTCTTGGCTGGGGATGAGGAAGTAGGATGGATTCCCAGGCCTATCACAACCTGGACTCAGGAGTGCTTCCCTACCACCCTTGACACATTATCAGGGCTCTGCCCCCTGTGTGAAAGGATTTCAGGACTTAATATTCCCTGAACATGTGATTTGCACTCCTCAGCCCTGGGAGGTGTGTTCTGCCAGATCGGAGCTCTTTCTTGCCCTAGATGTGTTGGAAGAGGGAGGTCTTCTGTCTGGAAGAAGGGCTTAGACTCTGGGGCCAAGGAGTTGGAATAAGGCCAGGTGAGGAAGGACCCTGGTTCAGGAATACTCCAGTATTTCTCATGAGTGGACAGGAAGGAAAGGGGGTCTGGTATGTAGTGTTATCTTGGAAAAGAGTGGGACTGGAAAAGGAGAACCTTTGAACTGGTGGAGTGAGGTGACAACTGGGGCATATCTAAGAGTCATTGTGGGCAGTACCTCTCTCTGCTGAAGTGACTTTCAGGGGACATTTCCCCACAGACTTCTGCTGGTTTTAGAGAGAACTTCCCAGCTCCTTCCCGCACTGGGTGTATGTGGATGGGGTCCTCTTGGAAGAAGGAGGGGAGACAGTGTCACGGCTGTCCCAGAGGACGCCTCTGCCCTTCTAAGCACCTGTTGTTGTCACCACCAGGACACGCAACCTTTGAGCTGGGAGCCACCTGGATCCATGGCTCCCAGGGGAACCCTATCTATCATCTAGCAGAAGCCAATGGCCTTTTGGAAGAGACAACTGATGGGGAGCGCAGCGTGGGCCGCATTAGCTTCTACTCCAAGAATGGCGTGGCCTGCTACCTTACTAACCGTGGCCGCAGGATCCCCAAGGACGTGGTTGAGGAATTCAGCGATTTATACAACGAGGTAAGTGGAAAGTTAGGACACTTTGAGGATGAAAATGATGAGCTAGGCAAGAAACTGATATTTCTGATTAAATATTTTTCTAAAAAGACTTTCAATATCTTTTTCTTGACTTATTGTAAGGTGTTTGGGTTGTGGCAGCTGTTGTTGCTATGGTTGCTTATGGATACTCAATTAAAAATTAAAATTTATTTTTAAAATTTTATGTGTATGAGTCTTTTGCTTACATGTATGTAGATGCACCATGTGTGTGCAGTGCCCATGGAGAACAGAGAGGGCGTCAGGTCCCCTGGAACTGGAGTTATAGGCAGTTGTTAGTCACCATGTGGGTGCTGGGAACCAAACCTGGCTCTTCTACAAGAGCAGTCAAGTGATCTTAACTGCTGAGCCATTTCTCCAGCCCCAGGTCATCAATTTTTTAAAAGCATTTCCTAATTGTTCCTGGTATGTAGCAATTTTTATACATTGACCTTAACTCCCATGATGATTATTTTAGTTCAAATAATATATCTATTAGTACATTGGTTAGTATTCTAATGTTTTTGGAATTCTATCTGGCCATCATTGTCCAGTAGGACTTTTTGCAGTGATGAAGATATTCTAGCCCGCCATCACTCTGTGTGGTACTTTCCAGCTGCTTGTGGCTTTTGAGTACTTGAAATGCTGCTAGTGAAACTATGCAGAGCTAAATATTTAACTTTGAACTTTTAAAGGTATCTAATTGTTATATATTGGATGCACATCCTCTGACTGTTTTTCTTATCTTATTGTACCAGTTAGTATCATACTCTGGTGTTAGATAGAAATAGCAATGCCATATATCCTTGAATTGTTCAAGCTTTAAAAAAATTATTAGCTGGGCATGGTGGTGCACACCTTTAATCCCAGCATTTAGGAGACAGGGGCAGGCAGATCTCTGTGAGTTGAAGGCCAGCCTGGTCTACATAGTGAGTTCCAGGTCAGCTGGGTCTACAGGGAGACCCTGTCTCAAAAAAAAAAAAAAAAAACCAGTCAGAAAAACTATTAATATTATGGAAGGTGTGGTGGTACACACCTTTAGAGCTAGCATCCTCCAGGCAAAGGCAAGAGGATCCCTGTGAGTTCCAGGCCAGCCAGGGCTACATAGACCTTGTCTCAAATCCCCATTCCAGAATTATTAATATTCTCATGTCTTTCAGTGCTGCTGTAAATAGCACTGAACAGAGTAATGTGTAGAATTCGTTTTCTTATTTAATGTAATGACCCTACTTCAGGTCATTAAAAGGGCTACTAAGCATCTATTGTACACTTTTTAATCTCTTGTTCTGAAGTGCTCCCTGGTCTAGAGAGAATGGGCACACATAGTGTTTTGTGTATATGTACTGATATGTTGTGGGCCATTCCATGGCATCATTTTTTCACTAATGTACAAAATGTAGAACTAATAATGATCAGATAAGACCTACTATTCTGGGGCTGGAGAGAAGGCTCAGTGGTTAGAACACTGACTATTCTTGCAGAAGACCCGGGTTTGCATCCCAGCACCCACACAGCAGCTAACAACTGTCTGTAACTCCAGTTCCAGGGGATCCAACAGCCTCTTCTGTCCTCCATGGGCATTGCATGGCACAGTTGCACTTACCTACATGCAGGCAATACACGCTTACACATTAAAAAAAAAAAAAGACCTACTGTTCTTCTAAGTAGACCTTTGTGGTCTGCATCCACATTCTTGGCTATTGTGTGTGCTTTAAGCATGGATCCTTTTTTATGTTTTATTTCTAAATTTTTGGTCTTTTTGAGACAGGGTCTCCCTGTATCCACAGCTGATCTAGTACTTGCTATATAGACCAGGTTGACCTTGAACTCACAGAAATCCACCTGCCTCTGCCTCCCGGGTGCTGGGATTAAAAGTGTGTGTGTGGGGCTGGAAAGATGGCTCAGCAGTTAAGAACACTGATGTTTTTGCAGAAGACCCGGGTTTGGAGTCTAGCACCCACATGGCAGCTAACAACTGTCTGTAACTACAGTTCCAGGGCATCCGACAGCCTCTTCTGTCCTCTGTGGGCATTGCATGACAAGGGTGCACTTACCTACTACTACATGCAGGCATAACACTCATACACATAAAATAAAAATATTTTTAAAAAATAAAATAAAAAATAAAAGATTAAGCCCTGCTTATATGATCAATTTTTTTTTTTTTTTTTTTTGGGTTTTTGAGACAGGGGCTCCCTCTCATGTCTTGCAATGCTGCGGAGGTCAGAAGAGGGCATTAGATTCCCCTGGAACTAGAGTTAAGTACGGTTCTTAGTCACCACGTGGGTACTGGGATTTGAACCCGGGTCCTCTGCAAGAGCAGTCAGGCTCTTAACCATTGAGCCATCTCTCCAACCCCTAAAATGGACATGGCTATACTTACTTCCTGATGTTATAAGGATTGCAGTCTCCATGAAAAGTGTTTAAGAAGAATTGGGGTAGTGTTAGTGTTCACAGGTTTCCCCCCTCCACCTTTTTTTTTTTGGTGACATCAGGAAGATGTCATTCCACGTATGGTAAGAGACTACCTGTGTCTGGAAGGATAGGCCCATGTTCAGGTAAGGCTGTCCTAGTTAGTGATTGCTACGTTTGTTGTCCCTCAGCTGGACTTTTTGGCCTCTAGTCAAAGGAGCTAAAGAGTGGCTACCATTTTGCTTATCATTTAGGGAAAGACTCAGGGAGTAGGTGAGTCCAGAGTTCCAGTCCTTGGCAGTGGTTCTATGGGAGGACTTTGCTGAGGCTCCATTTAAGGCCAAACACCCAGTATCTCGTGATTGTAGGGAGGACAAGCGAACAGTTTCACCCATTTTCTTCTCTATAATCCACACTGCAGAAGTATGTTTAACTTAACTCCCCTGTCTCACAAGCAATAGTAGGGATGGGGAGTACCCCCTGATGCTTCTTTTTACTCTGGCCTGGCAGCTTATCCCAGAGCTGAAGTACGGAGCAGACATGGTTTTCTTGAATGCATGCAGACCAAATCCAAACTCTCTGTAAGGAGGGTGACGTGCCACTCATCAGCTCCAGCCACAGGCGATTGGCCAAGGAGCTCACATTTGTCAGTGTCCTGGGAATGGCAGCAGTGGGTGGGGAACATGCTGCTCTCCTGCTTGTAGCATTTCAGGGGTCTAGAGCCTTGGCATGGTCCTTTGTCCTGCCCCATGTTTACCTTTCCAGTTATTCATTTCTTGCCACTTTCTCCTTGTTTCCCCTTCTGCAAGACTAGCCCAGGTCAAGTTTCTAGTCTGTCAGCTCTCTACCCTTTCTGTGCAGTTCCCTCTACTTGAAACACTTTCTTCCCTCTCTCACTGCCAAGCCTGCTCTCTGCTGCTGATCCAGGATGGTCTGGGTTGACCTCATTACCCCTAGGTTCTTTCCTGCAGAGGCCATCCTATAGAAACAAATGTCTTGTAATGTCTCCTCAACTTGAGTGTGGGCGGGGCTGGAGACTCTCTTGTTCAATATAATATAACCTGTGTTGCTGGATATAGAGCCCAGTAAATGCATGTTGAGTAAATGTTGGGGTCTGTCACAGGAACAGGAGGCCCGTCAGCGTTTGGTGGGAGTTATGGAATAGACTTGGCTGGCAGGAGAGGCAGAAGGATCCTGTTTCAAGGGACTGATAACTACTATGGATAAGGAGTGGACTGAAGTTCTGACTGAAATGTGTTCACCAAGCAATTTCTGTTCCTGATTGTGCTGGGGCCTCCTAGAGCTGCTCCCTCTTATGCTCTTCCCTCCACACACCCCAGATGAAGGAGACTATGGATCTGAGCAGAGCAAGGAAGGCATCTGCATGGAATGAGGTCTTTGGGTCCCTGTCCTTCCTGATTGGCACCATCCATAACTCCTGTCTGCCCTCTTAGGAGTGAGCAGAGCAGGCACACTTGGGTGGCAGATAGACAGGGAAATGGTTGAGCATTTCGTTCTTGTAAAAAGACTCATATTAAACCTTACCCACCCAGGGCTCAGGGACCATTGCAGAAGAGGGGTAGAAAGATTTAAGAGCCAGGGGTGGTGTATGGCCACAAGGAAACAGAGTCTTCCAGGCTTCTGGGAACTTGCTTATGTGAATTTATAGCAATGGTGATAGCATGCATAAATACTCATGCAAACTCAGAAAAAAGCCCAGCATAGAACTGGGGAAATGAGCAGGAGGCCCCAGTCTTTACTGAGGAACTATTGGCAGCTGATCACTGCTGGGTGAAGGAGAGGTGGTCCTCTTTAAGGAAGTGATGCTATATAGGCTGAACAGGCTCCAGTGGGTGAACTCAAACCGAGGATATCTGGGTGCACAAACTTGACTTAGTCTTAACATAAATGACAGAATGTATGAAATCCAGTGGGTGGGCCATGGCGGGGTGCAGACAAGGGAGGGGTTCTACATATGATTAAGATGTATCAAATGAAATGCACAAGAAATTCAATAAAAATATATATAAAAAAGAGTAAATATGTGCAGACCAAATTCTCTAGTGGGATGTGGGGCCCTTGTAGACTTGTGCAGAGCCAGTGTTTGTGGAGGGGGCGTACTTTCCCCAGACTCTACAGGCTCTAGATGCTTGTAGTTTGTTCTAAGCAAGAGCCCCAAAGTCAATCCCTCCTCCCTCAGAGGCTTAGAGGCCAGGATCTGGCTGATTAGAGCAGGTGCCCTGTTCAACCTTAGGCAGAATCCAGTGTAGCATGTGGAGGGACACATGTGAATAGGTAGGTTTCTAGTTGAGACCCTTCTGTTTGATGTGGAGGGGTGATATGGGTGTTCAGTGTCCAGGGGTCTCTCCGGCAGGTCTATAACTTGACCCAGGAGTTCTTCCAGCATGGTAAACCAGTCAATGCTGAGAGTCAGAACAGCGTTGGGGTATTCACCCGAGAGGAGGTGCGCAACCGCATCAGGGACGACCCTGACGACCCAGAGGCCACCAAGCGCCTGAAGCTCGCCATGATCCAGCAGTACCTAAAGGTATCTTTGCTGTGGAGTACAAGTGCCAGAGTGAAAAAAGACCGAATCTGGGGGAGTCAGGGTCTGAAGGCCTACACTGCTCAGAGTTCTGGTTCCTTGCCTGGCCCAGCCGTTGTGTCACATGGCTTCTCTCTGGATCCTCCCACAGGTGGAGAGCTGTGAGAGCAGCTCTCACAGCATAGACGAGGTGTCCCTGAGTGCCTTCGGGGAGTGGACCGAGATCCCTGGTGCCCACCACATCATCCCCTCTGGCTTCATGCGGGTTGTGGAGCTGCTGGCTGAGGGCATCCCTGCTCATGTCATCCAGTTGGGGAAGCCTGTCCGATGCATCCACTGGGACCAGGCCTCATCCCGCCCACGGGGTCCTGAGATTGAGCTTCGGGGTGAAGGTGACCACAATCACGACACTGGGGAGGGTGGCCAGAGTGGAGAGGGTCCCCAGCAGCGTAGGTGGGAGGAGGAGGAACAGTGGCCAGTGGTTGTGGAGTGCGAGGATTGCGAAGTGATCCCAGCGGACCATGTGATTGTGACGGTTTCGCTGGGTGTCCTCAAGAGGCAGTACAGCAGCTTCTTCAGGCCAGGCCTGCCCACCGAGAAGGTGGCTGCCATCCATCGCCTGGGCATTGGCACCACCGACAAGATCTTCCTTGAATTTGAGGAACCCTTTTGGGGCCCTGAGTGCAACAGCCTGCAGTTTGTATGGGAGGATGAAGCAGAGAGCCGCACTCTCACCTACCCACCAGAGCTCTGGTACCGTAAGATCTGTGGCTTTGATGTCCTCTACCCACCAGAGCGCTATGGCCACGTGTTGAGTGGCTGGATCTGTGGAGAAGAGGCTCTGGTCATGGAGAAGTGCGATGATGAGGCTGTAGCTGAGATCTGCACAGAGATGCTGCGACAGTTCACAGGTGGGCCCTGTGTTCAAGTCATCTGTGCCTGGCCCTGTTCTCATCTCCTAGGTAATAGCAGCTGTTCCCTCTCCAATCTGTGATGGTGAGGTGACTGTGTCTACTGGGCGAGCCACTGCAGGGCCATGCTTAGCCTCTGTCTCCTCAGTTGCTGACACTCTCCTATTTTGGAGTTGGAATCACTCAGAACCATAGCTCTTTGTTCCTTTCCTCTAAGGGCTGATGGTGAAAAATTCAGGCATCACCATCACCACCGTTGCCCATTTCCTGTTGCATACAAGACAGGTGGATTTGTGTTTCACTCTCTGATTGACTGAACGTGAACTCACTATGTAGCACCCACTGACTTTGAACCCAAGATCCTCCTGCCTCCGTCTCCCGAGTGCTGGGACCACAAGCATATGCCACCATGCTCAGCTTCTTTGATTCTTTTTTTAAAATTATTTATTTAATAACCACATAACCAGAAGAGGCATTTCATTACAACAGCATTGACATAGTCAATGACAATTTCCAGAGCTAAGATGCTTCTCTTTCAAAACTGGCTGTAAATTTTTAGGTTTACAGTTGAATTAATATGGTTATACAATATTGTACTCTGTATAAACCCTATAAGACATAAAATTAAATGAGGTTTTAAACTTTGAAAAAGATCTCCATTTCATTATTAAAATACACAGTTTCATACAGAAAAATTCATTTTTAATACAATTGACACTAAGATGCACATGCATTTCTAATCTCTATATATCTGATTATTACTAGTCACAGTCGGTTACTTTCTGAGCTCCTTGGCATCTGAGCATAGATATAAAGTCATCAGGTAGATTTCAATGGTAATGTTTTTCACAGCTACTAATTATTAAGGAGCAAATTTTTGTGCTTTGAAGAATTGCAGGAGCCCATGACATTAGAAAGGGACACATGATTGTCTGAAAACTTTAAAAAATGGTGCTGGGAATCAAACCTAGGGTCTCATGGGTGCTAAACAAATGTTCTACCACTGAGCAACCTCCCCCACAGTTTTAAAATAGGAAAATTAAGGCCCTGAGGTATGGAGTGTTTTTGTTTCCTGGGAGGTCACCAGGAAGTAACCAGTGGATATAGAGCTCAAGCCCCACCTCCCTCCTTTCCCCTCGTTTTTATACCTACCTCTTGACTACCTGGTCTTCCTGGAACCCCAGAGGTGAGTGGAATTGTCTGACTGTCTTGGGGTATCTTCCATATGCAACCATTTCTTATGCTCTCTCACCTTAGCTCTTCTGACTTCCCATCAGGGAACCCAAACATTCCAAAACCTCGGCGAATCCTGCGTTCAGCTTGGGGCAGCAACCCCTACTTCCGAGGTTCCTATTCATACACACAAGTGGGCTCAAGTGGGGCAGATGTGGAGAAGCTGGCCAAGCCCCTGCCCTACACAGAGAGCTCCAAGACAGCGGTGAGTGGGATGTGGTGAGGAGACATTGGTGGGGGCATTTTATGTATGTCTGGTCCAGGGGAGGATGTGTGGGTAGTGTTCATTAAAGTTACTAAGGTAAGAAGTGATGGGGGCACCTCATATTGAAGGAGAAAACAAGACGGCATAGACTTAACATCTGGAAGAAAAAAATGGAATAAAATAGAAACTTTAAATACTTTCTTGAGCTTCTGAAATGTGATTCCATGCTATGCTGGACATTAAGCCTCCAGCTGCATTTAAATTAAACTAATTAATTAGAACTTAAATTAATAAATTAAAATTTTAATTGATCTGGGTGTGGTGGTGCATTCCTTTAATCCCAGGCTTCTGTGACATTGAGGCCAACCTGGTGTGTTCCAGGCCAGCTGTGGCTACAGGGAGACCCTGTCTGAAACAAAACAAAATATAACACAAAACAAAAACAAAAAAATTTAATTCCTTATTGTTGCACTACTTATATTTCAAGTTTAATAGCCACACATGTCTGGTAGCTGCCAGATGGTGTTGTGCAGTGCTGTAGAATGTTCTGTTGGACAGCAATACAATTGTATTCTTGTGTTTTTAGAAAATAAAGTTGAGGGGCTTAGAATATAGCTCAGGTGGTAGAGTGCTTGCCTAGCACGAAGCCGCTGGGTAAGCTGCCTGGCACTTCAGAAACCTGGTATAGAGGTACACACCTAGTGGTTACACCTGTAATCCTAGCACTGAGAGGTAGAGCCAAGAGGATCAGAAGTTCAAAGTTATCCTTGGCCACATAGTTCAAGACCAGCCTGGGATACTTGAAACCCTGTCTCAAAAGAAAAGAAAAGAAAAGTTAAGAATACTGCCCAACTATATTCTAAGAAAATAATAAACCTGGAGTCAGTGAGATAGCTCAGTGAGGGTGCTTGCTACCAAGCCTAGGCACCTGAGTTTGATCCCCAGAACCCAGTAGAGGTAGAAGGAAGGAACCAACTACCACAAGTTGTCCTCTGATCTTCACACACACGGTGGTACGTCTGTGTGCTTATGCATGTGCGTGCGTGCGCGCGCACACACACACACACACGTAAAAACGAAAGAAAGAAAATAGTGAACCTGAGAGAAATATGCATTTTTGCTTCAAAAAGTAAAATTTGTCCACCAAGTATAAATATATATTAAATGTTAAAATGAAACGCAACAGTATTATATTTAAAATAATCCTTTGGAGTTATTGGTGAAGGAGATTTCAGTCAACTAAGATGTACAGTATCTGTCTAGCTGTGCTCAAAGGGAGAAGACCTTACTGTGGTCATCTTCCTAAAAGAGACCTCTGACTATAATAAAAGCAAAGCAAAATAAAAATAACCATGACTTAAACAAGACAGGTGTTCACTTCCAATATATGAAGAGATCTGGAGGAAGGTGGGAGGACCAAGAACCTTTAACATCTGGCTTTTGTTTTCAAAGTCACCTGTGACCCAAGAGAACTCCAAGAACTTTAGCTCTTACATCTGCACCATAGACTGGAAGCAGGCAGAAGGTTTATAGGCTAAAAGGGGATTCCTTGGAGCCGATACAGTGGTTTCTAAGCAACAGTGCACATGAAGCTCATTGGCTAGAACTAAGTCACATGATTATACATTGCTGCTAGAAGGCTGGACCATGTCATTTTTATTTTGGATGACTTTGAACCCAGTTAAGAACTAGGATGTTTTACAGAGGGGAGAGATGAATGGTGGGTGTGGGAGTGCGAAGTTTGTGCTGTGCTACAACCCATCCCTCTTTCTGTTTATCAACCTCTGTGGGCTCCTTATTGGTGGAAGTGGCTTACCCTGGGAGCTTGTTAGAAATGCACATTCTTGGTCTACACCTGTTGGATTAAGCACTGCTTTCTTGGATAAAGTCCACATTCAAGCTTGGGATGGAAGAAGTTGAATCATTCCTGGATGTCACCTAGATACCTGCTTTGAGACTGAGCCTTGGTTATACCAAAAATTGTACTGTCCCCAGGGTGGTGAATTTTTGCCTCCAGTTTTCCCTCTGGCTGAATGACTTTTGGCTGTTTATTCACCCAGAATCCTCTCAGAACCAGTACAAAGGTCCTGTTCTCTGGGATCTTCAGATACTGGACCTCTTTTCTGGGCTTTCAGCACCTTACTCAAACACCCATCATCACATATGACAGCTTAGTAACTGGGTTTCATGTCTGGCTTCCCCACCAGCATGGAAGCTCCACAAAGCAGCAGCCTGGTCACCTTTTATCATCCAAGTGCCCAGAACGGTCCCTGGACCCTAGTAGGGGCTCCATAAAGGTTTGTTAAATTACCAACTAACTTCATTGAGTGTTTACATTCTTCCAGATTCTAAGTACTTACATGCATAGTTTTGGTTTCACTTAATCTTTACAGCTGCCTTCAGAAGTAGGTGGCATAAATCTGTTTGGCAGATGAGCAAGGCTTAGGGAGGTTAGACCATTTATCCTGAGTTCATTGTTAAGAAACATACATAGCCTTTCAACTGTAGAGCCAGGACTTCTAACAGCCTTAGAACAGAAAGAACAGAATGTGGCTTGGATGTTGGGGAAGAAATGGGAAGGTGGCCAGGTGGGTGGGTAACTTTTTGTCCTGTAAAAGCAACAGTACCTACCTACATCCTATTCACTTGTATCTGCCTTGTAGGGATGGGGGTTCTGGGGCAGACAGGGAGCCCTTTGGCCTTTGCTGATCCTCCACCCTTACTTCTTCTTCCTCCCACCTAGCCCATGCAGGTGCTGTTCTCGGGTGAGGCCACCCACCGCAAGTACTACTCCACCACCCATGGTGCTCTGCTCTCTGGCCAGCGTGAGGCTGCTCGTCTCATCGAGATGTACCGAGACCTCTTCCAGCAGGGGCCCTGAGGGCTGTCTTCACTGCCAAATGTGTTCCTTAAAGAACCACTAACTCGTGATTGCCCATCCCTGTCCCTTGCCCTGTGTGCTCCTAACTTTGTAATCCTCTGTAGAGTGGAATTTTATCTTTATTAGAGCTGGATACCTGGGCTGGCTTCAGTCAGACCCAGTCCCGTAGCTTTTCTTTTTCTCCAGGCTGGGTAATGACCAGGTGGGATGCTGACCTCCTGTTTTCCCTTCTTCGTCCATGTTATTGCAAGTGCCTTCAATACTTTGCATTTGGGGATAATAAAAGAGGCGATCCTTCCCATGCTCTTCAGCTTCTCAGTTCTCAGCCTGTGTGTGTGTGTGTGTTTAATCACATCCCCTCTGACTGGGATTGATGGGGGAAGCTGTGGTTGGGCTGGACTCCTAAAAAGGAAGGTAGTACTTAGGTTTACCTCAGCCTGTGTGTGTGTGTGTTTAATCACATCCCCTCTGACTGGGATTGATGGGAGAAGCTGTGGTTGGGCTGGACTCCTAAAAAGGAAGGTAGTACTTAGGTTTACTGCAGAGATGTTCCTTTACCCAGCCTGTTTGTAGCTGTTCCGTGAGACCCCTCTGGAATAGGTACCTCTGCCTGCTCAGCACCCGGTTCCTCAGAACAAGCCTGGGTCTGCCCACTGGCCCTTCTTGAAGCTTGATTGGATGATGAGCTACATGGAATAAAGGTGTTTTCAGTTGCCAGGCTTGATGGGTTCATTATTAATCCATTGCTGGCCACAGGGTGGTGAGTCTGGCTCAGGTTTTAAAAAACTAACAATACATGTTGGATGTCTTCCATAACACTACTTACACAATGTAAATGTGGTTCTTACTTTGGTCACAACAGGGTGCCTCCACCCTGGCCCAGAGTTCCTTTGTGGGAAGCCACCTTTACTTTTTGTGAACTTGCATTAGAAAGTGTTCCCTTTCTCTCACAGCCCCTGGATTTCTCTACCAACTGCAGTGGGAGGGACCAAAACAGCCAAGGGCATAAGTAGGAGGGGGAAAGTAGTCACCAGGTAAGGAGTTTAAAGAACTTCATTGGAGGTAAGAAAGCTCAAAAAGGCGATTTAGTGGCTGCATAGTAGGGTTTTTAGATGTGGGTAAAAGTGAGAGAGAGAACATTTACTCAGGACCAGTGACCTGCTGGCAGGATGTCAATCATAAGTGCTGGGCACAGGGTCTCTTGATATGATATGGATGCCAGCCATGGTTGGGAAGGATGATTTATCTTTGTAGGTAAGTGAAGCTTTTAAGGTTAGCGTGCTTGTCTCAGGTAGGCAGTGAAGTATGCCCCAGTCCACAGTGTGGGCCCATCTACTGTGTTGTACTTGATGAGAAGATGAAATTGGTATATCAAAAAAAAAATCTGCAGTTGTTGGGGTAGACAGTGGACATGGCACAGCCACACTGGGAGATAGCATGGCAGATTCTACTAAGGTTGGCCATGTACCTGCCAGCATTTCCACTCCTGGTTCTTAACAAAGGGAAATGAAAGTGCAGATGCCCACCAAAACTGTACCAAAAGTCTCTGGGAGAAAGCCAAGGGACCCTTGGGAGATACAGGTAGGAACAGGTGCAGGAGGAGTGGCCTGGAGAGTCTGATAAAGCAGTCAGCCCTCCAGGGTGTAGCCCCCACATCAAATAATGACATCATGTGGGTAATGTGCATGATTTACATCCCCCCTCCGCTTGCAAAGCAGATTTGAGACAGATGAACAAGAAAGAGAAGCCCTTCAGAAGCAAGACACTAGCCCTAACAGGAGCATAGACTGTGTCTCACATGGTGGGGACCAAGCTTCTGAAATATATGTGGCATCTATTGAAACACAAGGGATCTATCCAGTGTGTGACACTTAGGCCAACACCCATGCAGGTGCTGCTGTTATTCCCAGTGCCTGAATTTCACATGCAGAGAAAACTTTCCTGCAGTGGACTAGACTTAGTTGCATGTTGTCTTGTATCCTAGTCACTAAGAACTCCATGGTCAAAGGTGTTCACTTACGGCTTTGTGGGAGCCTCAGAAAGGTTCCACAGAGGGTCTACATACGGTACCGTGTCTTTGCCATTGCTGCAATGTGATGTGCAAAAGACTGTATATTATCTTCTATTTCATGGGAGCTGTCCCTCCCAAAAGCAGGGTAGAAGCAAAGTGTCTCTGATTTGAATCTCTGTGTTCATCAGTTTTCTGTTGCTGGGACAAGCTACTTAAGATAATTAGCTTAAAAGAAGGAAAGGCTTATTTTGACTCATGGTTTCAGAGGTTTTAGTCCCTGGTTGGTTTGCTCAGTACTCTGAGGTGGGAGCATGTGGTAGAGGCAATCTTCATCTCATGATGAAACAAAGAGAGAGATAGGAGGGATCCAGGGTCTCTATATCCCCTTCAAGGACATGCCCTCAATGGCCTGGATACCTCCCATGAGGCCCCACCTCTTAAAGGTTCCACCATGTCCTAATAGTGCCACAGGCTAGAGACCAAGTATTTAACACATGGGCTTTGGGAGGATGGTCCAGATCCAAACTAGCATTAGCTTGGGCTTGTTGGGATGAGATCAAGGGCAACTCCTAGGTGTGGTAGGGGTAGGCTGCTGTCTCAGTTCTTAAGAATTATCTGTCTAATTATTGGCTTTTCCAACTTAATGGTAGAGTTGAAGGAGGCTAGGTTTTCTTATAATAACTGTCTGGGCTGTTTATTGAGGCTGTTCCTGATTTGTATAGGGCAACATGCAAGAAGGCTATTGTGGTGGTAAGGTGACCATGACATCTAACCTTGTGGTATGTATAATATGAGAAAAGGGGGTTGGTCACTGCTTTGTTTCATACTATTTAAGTGGCAGATGATAGATGAAAAGCTATTATCACTTTCTTTGATTTTAGTGGCAGTTGCTTGATACTGATTTTACAGGAACATCTATAACATGATCCTTCAAGGAATGTAAAGTGTTGGGCATGTTTTATTTTACAAACTCAGTGTGCGTGCGGTTTTGATCTGTTGAACTGTGTATTCATCCTTCATTTCACCCCTACTTCTTTTTGTCTTGGATCTACTACCACACTCTGCCCCATATGTGGGCCACATGGGGTCACATAATCCTCTGTGCATCTGAGAGACTCCAGTGTCCTTTATACCTGTGTGGGCCATTGGCTGTCCTTTACGTGTTTGGATTGGTCTCAGTGTGGTCTGTCCTGACGAGGTGTAAATAGGACTGGGATTTCACATTTGGTTTCTCATTTCATTTGATGTCTTCCCAGTACCCTCAGCTCTCTTGACCTTGCTCTCTTAAAGCCGGTCGGCACATTTCAGTCATGCATCAAGCCATACCTGTGGTCTGGGCTGCAGGGGCCCTTGTCTTTGCTCCTCTCCATAGTCAGACTTGACAAGCATTTTCCACATTGGTCCTTTATCCAGCTTCATCGTCCTCACCCCAAAAGTTGGCTGTGGGGATCTTCAAATTGCAGAGACCCAAAGGCTCCTTCTCACAGGGCAGGACCCCAGAGGCAGAAGCAGCTTAGACCCGTGTCCCTGGAAGAAAAGACAAATCATGGACTAAAGCACAATCTCTGGCGCCCCCTGATGGCTGAATGAGAACACAGCGCGTACCCAGAGCATTTGTGAACTGATTATCCGCGCTTTACTGAATTCAAACAATGAACAAACAATAGTAAGTCACAAGGCCTCCCTTTCGTGTCGAATAAATAAGTAATATTGTGTCTCTTTCTACAGTTCCATTGATTTTTTAATTATTAACAGTAAAAAGGCACTGTTGGCCCCAACAGGTGTTTCATTTTCTTCGTTTGCTCGGTCTTCATTCTTCTGTTCTAGCATGTTTAGTTCTCTCTCTCTCTCTCTCTCTCTCTCTCTCTTTCTTTCTTTCTTTCCTTTTTTTTGAGACAGGGTCTCCCTGTAGCCCCAGCTGTCCTGGAACTCACTATGTAGACCAGGCTGACCTTGAACTCATAGAGATCTGCCTGCCTCCTCCCGAGTGCTGGGGTTAAAGGTGTGCCACCACTTCTGGCAGTGATTTCATTTTTTAATGCCAGGTGAGAAGTGAGAAGGTTTAACTAAAGAAAAATTTCACTAAATCAATCAATAAGTGTGACTTCAGTTTGTTCCCCAAGTGATGCTAGACTTTAGAGTTGTATATTCAATATTTATATGTGAGGAATTAAGTATTAGTATTTATTGTGTCCCATTAAATCTGGCTGGTATGGGGACAAAATAAGGTTCATTAAAAATAATCTTATTTGGGGCTGGAGAGATGGCTCAGCGGTTAAGAACACTGGTGGTTCTTGCAGAAGACCCGGGTTTAAATCCCAGCACCCACATGGCAGCTAACAACTGTCTGTAACTCCAGTCCCAGGGGATCCGACAGCCTCTTCTGACCTCTGCGGGCATTGCACGACATAGGCGCAGTTACCTACATGCAGGCAATACACGCCTACACATAAAATAAAAATAAAATATTTATAAAAATAACCTTATTTGTTGGAATGCAGTTGCATATACAGTATACAGATCATGAGTCGTCAGCTTTACATATTTTGAACTCCTAATGTAACAACAGATAAAGAAACAAAAGTGTCCCTTGTACCTCTCCCAGTCATTACCCTCACCAAGGATGTGTTAGGCAGCTTTCCACTACTGGGACAAAGTATGTCAGACCATCAACTCATAAAAATAAAAGGTTTATTTTGGCTCCCAGTTTTTGAGGTTTCAGTTCATGGCCAGGCATACTCATTGCTTTTGGGCCTGTGGTGATGCAAAGATCCGAACCAGAGCAAAGGGCTGCTACCATTGTAATTTACTCTTCCTTGTTTCTGTATTTCATGGAAACATACTGCCGCCTCAGTTTCTTTTCCTGTTGCTGTGATAAAATATACTGATAAAGGCAATTTAAAGGAAAAAAGGGTTTATTCTGGTTCACAGTTCAGGGGCATACTACATCATGTTGGGGAAGTCAAGGTGGTGGGAGCTTGAAGCAGGTGATCAAACACATCACATCCACAGTCAAGGGCAAAGAGCAATGAGTGAATGCATGTATGCTGTGCAACTCACTTTTTTAATCTACAAAGTCCAGATCCTGTCCATGATTCAGATGGGTTTTCCCATATCAATTAATGTAATAAAGACAGCCCCCCACAGACATGCCCCAAGACCCAAGTGATTCTAGGTTTTGTCCAGTTGACACCACACATACTATTACCTTTTGATCCTTTAGCTCATAGTTATGAATTTAAACTTGGTCTGTGTAGCGAGCATTTTGTCCTTCTCACTTGTGGATCACAGT